TTTTTTTGTTTCCCTTGCAGGATTATTGTGCCACTAAGTGGTCTGTCCTCATGGAGGCAGAAGCACTGTTAAATGTTGATTTTCTACACCTTTTTTTTGCTTCCCTTGCAGGATTATTGTGCCACTAAGTGGTCTGTCCTCCGGGAGCGCTTCGACCGTGGTCTCTATGCCTCTCACGCCGATCTGCACAGGCTGAAGTGAGTGTTTTGTGTTTGCCCAGCACATTCCCTCCTGCAGAGCTGCCAGGCCAGCCCTGGAGGGCAAGAATAAATCACTGCAAGTGCCAATAAAGCCTTTAAAAAGCCCTGATAATTGCGGGGCTGATTGTGCTCCCCGGTGCCCCGGGGCGCTGTAACTGCTCCCCTGAGCTTATCCCGCTGTTCCTGACCTCATCCTGCTGTTCCTGACCCCATCCCACTCTCCCTGCTGCAGGTACCAGTGCTTTAAGTCAGCCTGGATGTACGAGGTGTTCCACAGTGGCTTCTCCTTCCCTGTGGGTTACAGCAACCTGAAAACAGCCCTGCAGGTTTATGACAAGGAGGTGCAGTGGACCCTGGGGGCCATCCTGTACCGAACACGCTTCCTCCCTTTAAGGTACCTCTTCTTCCCTCCAATTCCTGGGAAGAGCCCTTTGGGTGGGAGTTTTGGGGTCGGGAAGAGCGTGGTGGGACCTCAAATTGTGCTCTATAAACCCCGTTTTGTTAAAATGGGCTCTGATTCCTGCGGGGAGAGAAGTTGCCCGTGGAATTTTGCCGCCGAGTTATTCCCTTTGTCCCTTTTGCTGCTTTCCAGAGACATCCAGCAAGAAAACTTCCGTGGAAGTCACTCCCACTGGAGGAGCTTCTCCTTCGTTTACAATCACTATCTGTTCTTTGCCTGTTTCCTGGTTGTCCTGCTCTCCATCCTGCTCTACCTGCTCCGGCTCCGGCGCATCCACAGGCGGATGCTCCGCAACGGCTCCTCTCCCTCCCTCTGGATCGAGGAAGGTCTCCCACCACAGAAGATGGCAGGGCCCTTGTGAGGTGCTGGGATGGAGAGAGAATTGGGTTTTTTTTTCTTGGACTTGTTACACAAAAAAGCCATTTTTGCCTCAGGGTTCCTCCCTTTTTTTGTCCCTCGAAACCATTGGAGAAGCCGAAGGCCCGGCAAGGTTTGGGAAAGGCGGGAAAACGGGATCCCGTGGCTTGGTCTCACCAGACAGTTCCTGCCAAAAATGACTTTTATTTGACTATTGCACTTTTGTGTGTCGTGGGATGAGCTCAAGCTTGAGAGCAGAGTGAATGTGAGTCCTCTCCCTCGGGGAGAGGCTGGGAAATCCCGGGATGAGCGAGGACTGCCCGGGTTTCCTTTTCCAGATTCCAGGATTGGCGTCGCTCAACTTCTCAATCCTGAGTCTCAGTCAAAGGAAAGGAAGTGCAGGGTTTTCAGAAGCAGACAGAAAACCCCCTTTTAGGACAGTTTTCTCTGATTTTTTCCCTTTTGGATTCAGTCCTGTGATGGAGAAGAAAAACCTCTTGCACCCAAAGCTGTGCTTCCAAAAAAAAAACCTGCTTCAATCAGTTTTGTTCCATTGTGACACTTCCCCCCTTTCTCCTGGAAGCTTTATCCTCCTGGTGGCACAAGCCACTGCTTTTTAATCCTTTATTTCTCTTCCATAATCACGCAGAGATCTCCCAGAGACTCCAGGAAGGGGAAGAGAACTGGAAAAAACCTTCTGTTTCATGCACAGTGTCTTTCTTTTTCCGAGTCCTCTGATCTGTTAATTTATATTTTATTTAAAACCGTTAATTTTACTTGAAAGTAAATTCATCCCTGATTAAAAGTGGGATTTCTATGAGCCTTTGGGGTGTGGATATTTTCTTGCACAGTATCACTTTTTGTGGCACTCCAGAGCACGTTGTGTTTCCCAGATTGAGCTTGACAGATTCCTGGGTGCCTTTAATTGCTTTAAGGACTCAGGGCACGGCAAGAGGCAGATTTTCACAGCACTCAGCCAAGTGCCAAACCAAAATCCCTGGATTTCCA